AGGCCTAGACTCCGCCACTACATACTCAACCCCGACACTTATCAGACTTCTCTGCGCCGCTATATTCTACACGGCGCTCACTCTTCCCAGCAGCGGCGGCGGCGGAGGCGTACCTATTCTTGAATCCCGTGAGCGTCGCGCTGGCATGAATGCCCAACAGAGTCTCGGCATGCGGGCAGCATCAGCTCTCTCGGGGGTAGTATTTTCAGTACCTGTCTCTCGGAGGCTCGGCATTTCAACACTCGGCGTACCTGTTTCTGAATCCCGCGAGCGTCACGCTGTAGCTGGCGAATATGTCCAGCAGAACGGGTCGCTTCAGCTCTCTCGGGAGCTCATTCCCGTGAAACATGGGCCACCAGCGCCGGTCGCCTCGCCCGTCCATCTCCCCGTCGCCCACGATCCATAGCCCGTGCGCCTGCTTCGCTTGCAGCACCGCGCCGCTGAAATCGCCAGGCCAGGATTTCGACGACGGTGGGTTCTCTGGTGCGACTATCTTTCCGTCCAGTTTGATCGTCACTCCCGGGCCGCACGGGCCTTGCATGGTGACGTAGTTAAGGAGAAAAGATTTTCCGCGGGGGATTCGGAGTACGGTGCGCTTGTTCGCCTTCTTCGCCGCGCCGCACGCGGCGTTGAACGTGGCGAGGAACGCGGCGGAGTCGTCGGTTTTGCCGTCGCCCCTGGCGCCGCGATCCACGGGAGAGTACACGTCAGCGCACGACGCGGGCTGGAAATAGCAGTACGCCATCGCGGATGGCTCGTCCTTGCCGCTCGCGCGAGCGCGGTCCATGCATTCCGGCGGGAGAAGCGGCGCGGCGACCTCGCCTGCGACCTTGACGCGCTTCGCAGCGGCCGCCGAGTCGAGAGGCACGGAGCCGCCGTACCAGAGACAGGTCTGGCTGGAGCGGCAGCCAGCTAAGTTCGATAGAGGAGCGAGGTTGACGGGCGGTTTGTGGGGGAGCAAGAACGTGGGGCGGGGGGGCGTGGGAGAAGAATGGGAAAGAATGGGGGCGGGAATCGAGAAAAAGGCGGGTGAAGAGTGGGTGGAGGGGAACAAGAGGACGGTGATATGTTGGGAAGATGAAGAGGCATTACTTACTCTTATTGCTAAAGCAAGCGGCTGGGTTACATACAGCGGATTGCGGAGTTGAGAACGATTCGCATCACCACATAATAGACACTCGTTGACTAGCGTTGACCAGCACTGACTCGAACACGTACCAGGCCCCTTGATTATCTTGCATCGGTCGTCCAGCGTGTAGCGACAGTCGCCTGTCACCGTCGTGGCACCGCGACTCGGGGCCCACGCATCGGTGCGCTTCAAGACTTTACTGTGGCAGGACATGCGAGGGAGGGGAAAGACGCGGAGAAAGGGGAGGAAAGGTATACACAGGAGGGGAGGGCGGAGTGAGTGTGGTGCGATAAAGATGTGGATTCCGAAGGAAGTTGAGCAGTATGGGAAGAGAATGGTATTGCAACATACTGCGAGACTGCGACACGTGACTTCGCGGCCGGGGCCGGAAGCAAACGAAGATAGATAGGGAAAAAGACACATGCGGTTGGTACGAGCACAATTCAGCGCGGAGTGCGCGCGTGAAGGGGCTTACGCAGTACTGAATCGCTCGACTCGGACGAATTTCTTTGCTCGCGAGTTGAACTGGCACGCCGCATGTGTCTTGGGAAAAGCGCCTGTTATTTGAGAGAGTTGACAGGGCACAAGGAGATAACGCATAGTGTTTGGAGTTGGAGGTGTCTCAAACTGGCCAAACGTGACGTGACGTTTCAAAGGGTTGAAGGGGCGCAAAAAAGGTTATTACACTTGGCCAAAATTTGCGACTACGATGAATTTGACGAATGAGTGTTGAAACTCACGAGCCGCGTTGTAATGTGGGAAACGAGGGTCCGGAGGGTGCTACTAACCGTGGGCAATGTGGGCGAAGGTCTCGAGAATGAGGAAGATGAAGAGAAGAGCAGGAAACATTGCAAGGAGCTGGCGGCGATTCTGGCTCTGGTGTCGCTGCTTGTGCTGCCGTCGCCCAAATATGTTCGTCTGCAAGATCTCCGCTGGCTGCCTCGCGTGGCGACGTAGCATTTCCATGTGTGTGCGACACGTTGGAGAGTTGCTGCTGCTGGACTGTGCCGGAAGCTCTGCACCGGAAATAACTCGTTCGATAATTTGAGCTGGTGGGCGGTCACTGAGTGAATAAGGTTGTGCAGAGTGAGACGGTGGACTCTGGCCAGAGAACCAACGAGAGTAGGCGTAGAGAAGTTGCAGCGACGAGAGAGAGAGAGTTGATGATGAGAGGTTACGATACTTCGAAGGCTGTGACTGCGCTGCGGCGTGATGTAAGGCAAACCGGCTAATCTCTCGGGGAATGCTCGCGCTTGTGTAAGTGCAGCAGCTAGCAATATCTGGTTCGAGGCATTCTTGATATGCTCGTCTTTTGTAACTAGCTAAAATGCCTGCTAGATTCCAGTCCTGTCGTATTTGTATTGCAGTATTTAGTCTGAATATTGTTGACGCGGAAACTCGCATGTGGTACCTTTCCAGATACCACCTGGCGAAACGCGCTCATGTGCTTCCAAGGTAGACAGCGGCACAAGAGGCGCAAATTCTAATCAGCTCTGGTTGGCATGTGTGTTTCCTTGAAAATATACTTGACCATCGTAATGGCGGTATGTTTGGCCCTCCCATCTCAAATGCTCCACGCGAAATGTCGGCCAAATCGCGATGACCAATTTCGAATTTCTGTGTCGCGTCCGAGGCGCTAACATCCCGCGGCGACCCAATCCCTCCCACCCATTCAAGTTTGGAAGTTCATCAAGATCGAGCCGTGTTTTTGTTGGTTATGTGTCCGTTCCGAGAGAATTCCCGCGGCGCGGGCTTTGGTCTCGTGAATTTTTTTCATCGCGCTCAAATTTTTTCCATTTAGGACGTCCACGTCGAAAGCTGTCAAAATATTTTAACCGTCAGATCTGAAGCCCCTAGCGATATCCGACGGCTACATCCCGGCGCCATTGTTAGGTGTCATCCAGCTTGTCGTCGCACGTACTGTGCGACGGGTGTGACAGAATCTGTTGTTGCGACCCGCTCTGAGCGAATCGCCAAGGGTGAAAATTATGTCCCGCTCGACGACACTCGCTGTGCGCGTGAACGAACGTCACTAGTCCCCCTCGCGGGGTGCATGGAAGAAACAGCCAATTGAATGAGAGATCCTAAGTGGTCCAAACATGTTGTTAGTTGTAAGGAAATTTCTATTTCTTTACTCCGCATCCCTCCTCAGCGCATACGTATTCGTACTCGCCACACTCGCCACCGTTACCACTCGCGACATTCGCCTCGACTATTTCCCGCCACCTCGCCCGTCGCAACCCAACCTCACGGCTCGGCTGGTAACCCGCGCTCCGGGCCTCCGCTTCGACACTTCCTGACCTCAGTCTCACTTCCTAGGCCCGTAGCGCAACACCCACAGTTCGTTACCGTTACCACTATTGCCTTCGCTATTTAGTTCTCACTCATTCCTTCGCTCATTGTAATGTTTTGCTTCGATAGTACAATTCTCGCTCGCTTGCTCAATTGCACTCGTAACACTTTGTATCAAGAGCCTACGATCTTCTCTCGGACCGCATCCACACCATCGCTTCCCCACTATCTCAAAAAAAAATTTTTTTTTGAGGGGGGGGGGGGGGGGGTAGACGTCTCTCAGCGAGCAAGCACCGCCGCTCGAAGTGCTCTCTCGTAAGCACGCACGGCCACGACAGAGGCTCTCGCTGAGCTTGCCGGACACCCCCGCCATTGCTGAATATACGCTCGATACAGTGACGCAGGAGCAGTTCGATCGCCTCGTGCGCCAACTTGAGAATTCTTTTTTCGAAGTTGCGACGCTCGCGGCGGAACTCGACGCCGCCCGACGGCAATCGGCGACGAATGCACCTGCACCAACACCAACAAATGTACCTGCATAATCGGACGAGCCAATCGCCATTTCGTCCGGAACACCGTCACAGCACGACAGCTGTCGAAGGAAATGGCCCCGCCCTCGCTTGAGCGTAGCTGATCTCGCTGTAGACGGGAAGTTCGCGACGGATCGGTCGACGAAACGGGCTTCTTCTGCAGTTCGGCGGAAGTTTTGGTCGAGCAGGCTCTGCTCGACAGAATCTGGTCGACGAGCTCTGCGCGACGAGCTCTGGTCGACGATCTCTGCGCGGCGAGCTTCCGTCGAAGAGCGCTGGTCGAAGAACTCTGGTCGAAGAGTTCTGGTCGAGAAGCTCTGCACAGCGAACGCTGTTCGACTGTGCAGAGTCGAGCTGATCGACCGAAGTTGCACAGTTGGGCGAAACTCTGCGAAGGCGTGCGAACATTCGCCCAGGAGATTTTGGCGAAGTTCTACCTACGGAACGGCATTACGTGGTCGACGCCGTGCACCTGGCGAAACCGACGACACGTTTTCTACCTGGCACCTGCGCAATGTGCCTGACGGTGAAACCGCCAACCTGCACCTACTTGGTAGGTGCGCACATCTGCGCAGATAGACAACCTGCGACCGTAGAAAGTTACCTGCGATTGCAGATAGTCACCTGCGACTGCAGTGCTGGCAGACCGCGCGCAGTGCAACGCTGGCAGACCGCTCTGCTGCAGCGTTGGCAAGCCGCTCTTCTGCTGCGCTGGCTCGCCCTTGCTAGGAGTTCCATGCCATTCTAGTCTTTTGTTCTGCATGCCTCAATTGTACTCTATTCTTTCCTATCAACTTTGTTATTGCAAGTTGTTCTTTCCTTAGTGGAATTCTTGCCAAACTTCTCAGTGAACATAGCAAGCAGTAAGAACGCTAGCAGAGCGCTGCGATCACTCCCACAACACCGTGCTCCCCTCCGTAGTCCACTCCCGTTGTGTAGTGACTCTCCGCAACAGCGTGGGACAGCGCTCATGCGTAGCCAGTGATGGCGCCGCCCAGTCATGATGAGGACCAGGCCCGTTCTGTCAAGATAAGCGGTAGTCTTAGGAGCCATAGCTAGGAGAGTCCTAGCTAGGCAAGGGAGAAATGAACAAAGGAGGGGTTGCACTAGTAAGAATGGGGATACAAATAGCAAACCCTAGAAGGGTTGTACTCGCTATAGAGCACCCCACTACAGGCTAGAGCATAATATTCTGACACACCCCCATAGCCAAAGTGGGGTGTAATCAGCAGAGCAAGCAAAGCAGTACAAGCTCAGGGTGGATCACAATGTCACCACACATTCTGAGCACAAGTTCAAGAAGCAATAGTTTAAAGTTCACAATTATGAGCAAAGCTAGAGGTGGTCACAGAGGGCAAGTGAGGAGGAGGAGGGCTGGCGAGGGGAGAGAGGAGTGGAGGCGACGACTGAAGCTGCAGACACACGGGCAACAGACGGCTCTGGTGCAGCTCTAGTGGCTACCGGGAGCAAGGGCCCCGGAATACAGGAGTAACAGGCTCTGCGTCTGATCAGCAGCGACAGGAGCAACGGACCCACGGGCGACAGGTGCAACCGGCTCTCTGAGCTACCGGTGGCTATCAGAACCCCGGAATACAGGCGCTGCAGACGACACGACGGCTGCCTCCTGTCAGAGGTCCACTGGGGATCCCCGATGATCCTAGGGAAGGGTTACAGGCACGTCGGCCTGGGGGGTTATGGGCGCACTCACCCGCTATATAAACAAGCCTTTTTATCCCAGTGGTTAGTGACTGGGATTCTGACATGGTATCAGAGCGAAGGTCTCGGGTTCGATTCCCGGTGTGTGCACTTCGGGCATCCCAGTGCGGGGGGGTGTCAGAGGTCCACTGGGGATCCCCGATGATCCTAGGGAAGGGTTACAGGCACGTCGGCCTGGGGGGTTATGGGCGCACTCACCCGCTATATAAACAAGCCCTTTTATCCTAGTGGTTAGTGACTGGGATTCTGACACCTCCACCCAACCTCCTCCAACTGTCCCACACCCCCCAACACACACCCCCTGCTGCAACCCCTAACTCCACTCCCACGTCACCCCTCTAACCAGCACCACTCCTTCGGCTCCCCACACACCCACCCCCCTCAGCGGCAGCTGCAGCAGTGGGAGACGGAGGAGGAGGAGGAGCAGGGGACGGCTCACACTCACGGCACCCCCATACCCTCCACCCCCAAACCCTAACACAGGAACGCGGGCAGTAGCGGGGGTGGGGCGCCGGCAGAAGCTCGGGGGACGGACGAGGCGCGCGCACGGGCCTGCCGCAGGCCGGACGAGGCGCGCGCGGGCTGCCCGGGCCGCGCGCGGGCCTGGCGCAGGCCGTACGGGCCGCGCGCGGGCTGTACGGGCCGCGCGCGGGCCTGGCGCAGCCCGTACGGGCC